TATGATGAAAGGCTCTATTGAAAAATGACATTCTTATTATACAAAACAATTATTGGAAGTTCGTTGAACTTTTCGAGATCAATCTCTATCAACAAACAGTTTTTATATTTATTTTCTGTGTATTCCATTTTTTTTTGCCTCTTAAAATAATCAATAATTCTATGTTTCATAAATGATGTTTAAGAAAAATGATTTATCTAATAAAAAAAAGAAACTTTTCTAAGTATGATTTATCGATCAATTTCATAAGTAGAAAAAAAAGAATTCTATTGTCAAGTCATACTTGACGACCTTTAGGAGTGTAGATGTTTATTTCATATGAAACATTATCTTTTTGTTTAAACATAATGAATTTAGAATTATTATCCAATGAAATCTTACTTGAGTTGTTCAATTATTTTGATAGTATTGATCTTGTTCTTTCCGAACAGTTTTAAGCGTATCGTTTTCACTTTACTTCTTTGTCCAAATGTAAATTCGATATGATATATTAACAATATTTACTATTTATTGTTGATAAAGTTTTTTCCTTACGGCGTACTATCATTTATTCAATTCACTCATTTCGGAGGCTTACATTATTCATCAGTTATTCGTATCAAACACTAATGAAAGTTATTGATTAATATCTATCTAATCTTGACCATTTAAACTTATATATATTTTTTTTATTTTCAAAATTGTCAAGTTGATTTTCGATTAATCATTAACAATATTTGCAGTTTACCAAAACTTACTCATTACAAGTTTAATATTTATACTCAAGGACAACAAATTTTTTGTACATTAATAAAAATCTCTTTCACTCTCAAATTTGTGCATACGCATAAATATAGATTTACATGGAATAAGATAAATCAATTGTTTGAATATACACCTTGTTTAAATGTTTATTAAATCTACTGACAATGATTATTATACACTATCTTCTCTTCTAAACTTATTCAATCTGAACATTCATATTTTTCATATGTCTGATCCTTCGATGATGATTTCTTTTTTTTTCTCCAAAACTTACCTAATTTACATTGTTTGAATATTAATTTGTCATCTAACTTAATGAGAATAAATTATTCGTAATTATTTACCGAAACTTAAAATATTTCGACTTAAAATGTAGCATATACTTTCTTTGAATCGAAATATAAAAGAACGAATTGATGAATTAATTAATTCATTTCAAAGTTCATTTTAGATTGATGAACATAAATGGTTTGTTCGATGTTTCTTTGCACATACACACATCAATTCATCTTTCACTTTATCTGAAGTATCTTATTATAACGATGAAAAGCCTTCTAATTCATGGATATCAACATAGCTAGATGATAATCAACAAAAGTTTTACAATAGTATAATTAGAACCTATGATGACACATTGTTTTTAGATTATTCGTTTTTCTCTGGCATTCATGTGCCAAACATTAAATATCTGTGTATAAAATTTTCTATTAATGATCAATTTTGGCTCATTATCCCAAATCTGCAACGACTCTACTCACTGACAGTATCATCGATGCTTTTTATTCAAGTTAAAAATCGTGAAAATATTATTATTCTTGTCAAAAATATGATTAATCTCTGAGCATTACATTTTCAGGGTGAAGATAACAAACATTCTAAATATTTGTGATTAACAGAAAACGTTGATGAATTTCATAATGCAAATACGTCAAACAAAAATGATCCAATTCAATGGTTAAAAGATCCTTTACCATCAATGTATTTGATTGTCATTGATCCAGACAATGTCAATTCTATTTCAATATGAATTTAAAAAATAAATAATGAAAAAAATATACATTATTTAGATTAATTAATTGTAAAATAATCATTTTCTTAATGTTAAACATAATTCTTATTTATCTTCACAAGTTACGTGAAAATTATTATTCGAAGATGAAAGCTTTTCTTTTGTCGTTTATATGCATCTTTCAGCATTTCACTTCGATTAGTCTAATGAAAACAACTAATCACACTAGTTTAGAATTATTTGGAGTCTAAAAGAAATATCGGATACTTGCTTGTTATCGCTCCGGCAGAGTTAAGGTAAAGACTTTCACCCTCACCCTCAAGAGAGTAGTACAAGCATCAATTTCAACAGAGGATGTGGGTGTGAGTGTGTTTTATCTTTTATCATTGCCGCACTCACACCCAACAAATCAATTTTGTTCATCTTCAATAAAAAAAATAAAAGAAAATTTTTGATATTTGTTTTTATTTTCTTGGAAGAATTATACAAGTTCATTCGACATACTGTGGAATGTTCGATTTTCTAAGAGATTTTGTTTAAATAACTTGACAATGAATTAATCATTTGGCAAATTCTGGGAATTTTTTTTGTTTCTTGTTGAGAAGATTTCTTACAAATGATTGATCAAATTAGTCTTCCTATTTTTATAAAGATCTTCATTAATCAAATAATTGAAAATGTACGCGAAACAGATGGAAAATCATTGATTTAATATTGATGAAAGTTTTTCTAATGAGAAACTCTGAAGGTTCATCAGCAAATCTGCACACTCATACTCTCTATTATTCGATTTATGCGATCTTAGTATTCCTGCTATGTATGCTTACAACTTTCGAATTTCAATACCTATAATTTCTTGCTTCTTTATGTTTCTATGCGTGCATCTCTGGGACATGCTTAGAAGTATGATTAACATCGCTGTTTATCGATTCTTATTTCTATTTCTCTAGTTTCAATGTTTTTTGTTCTCTTATCTTATTCTCTTGTGAATCCAAATATACGGTAATTAACTACGTAATTATTAATAGAAAGAAAAAAAAAATTATGAAATAACATGCCTGTAATATTATTATTTTGTCGAATGAAAATTTCTCATAGTTCACAGTAGAAGAACTACATAGTTTCACTGTGTCATAGCAAACACGGTAGGAAAGAGTAACAACTGAACGTTATTAATGTATTCAAGCGAGATTATTAACTGTATTCATCGATCTGTTGATAAAGATACAAAATAAATTCTTGTTTATTGTATTCGAAAAGAAAAAAAAAGTTAATTATTCTGCAGATCAGTCCTTCAGATAATTCAATCCACATCGTCAGATAAGATTAAATCGATAATCTATTCGGTTAACCAAATACATGCCAATTCTGAAGATTCTCATGTGCGTCGAGTATATAATACGTCAAGTCGTTCATTGCTGAATTTCGTAATAGTTGATTGTGGTCATTATCACTGCTTGTTGATGAACTAGAATAATCAAGTGAAAACCAACCTCATGTTGAATGTATTTTGTCTGAAACAAGATAACAATTGAAGTTTATCAGTTGTGAATCCGATTTCATCTATAAGAACATGGTAGAGCGATGAACAATTGACGCCTTGTAAAACTTTATGTGAATTCAAAGAGAAATTGTATTGATAAGGATGAATAATTTTTGTATCAATCACTGTGCCGATGGGTATATTAATTTTTGTATTTTCAACTTGACTATGTTTAAAACAAGCGGATATTATGTCGTTTTTCGACAACAACAAAAGTTAAAATAAGATGATATGAGTTTTCACCATACATTCCCACAAAAAAAAGAATCGATTCTTTGTTTCTTTTCGTTCTGACAAAGAATTTACTATCAAAAGCTTTGCAAATAGCCGAAATTTCTTCATCAGTCATCTTGCTAAACTGACCATTGTCAATTCCTAAGCAAAGTAAACTTTTTATGACTTGTAAATTCTATTAAGAAATACTAACCATTCTGATAGAAGACTACCTTTGTTGGCAATCGGTTATTGACATCTTTATTTTATTCTAACAATTGTACAACCATTTCTTCCATGCCAACGATTATTTCTAACGAGCATTTGCATTGTTTCAGATACTGCTGATAAATGCATGTAACTGTCTCATTGAACACTGTGAATTACTAGAGTCGACAACGGGCTAAAGAAATCAATTTCAGATGATCATCATATTCTTTGATCATTAATAACTTATCAGCAATTGAGGGATGTTGTTGTGTTACACTAGTGTGGGTGTGAGTGTGAGTAAAAGAAAGATCTATACCCACACCCACACCCAACCAAAATCCACCCGCACCCTATCCAAGAAAATCCGAAAATCCAAAAAATCCAATGAAATCTGAAAGAATCCGACATAATCCCAAAATCTCAAATCCGCTTTTTCCACCTTGTTCAAATATCTATACTTCTTTGTGGCACTTGCACTTCTTAATGGTACTTGTAGTTCCTTGCAGTGCTTGTACTTCCTAATGATACTAATACTTCCTTGCAGTACTTGTACTTCCTAACCACAATAAGGCTTCCTTGCGGATCTTGTACTTCCTTACGGTACTGGTACTTCTTTCAGGCTGCTATACTAATTTCGAATGGCTCCTCTTTTAACCCCTTCGGAAATTAATCAATATCATTGAATTCTTTTCATCAATCTTTTTCTACTTCCGTCTGATACTGAAGGTTAATACATGTGGAACTGTATTTAAAGATAGACAAATTGGAGCTATTGTATGCCGATCTCTTTCGATAATAATTTCAAGGGAATCGTGTACTAAATAAGCTACGTATTTCTGCAAAAATTAATATCATCGAATAACACAAGAGAAGTGAGTACGATAATAATAGTTCACAGTTCAATAACGTTTATTGTTGTTGTAGTTCACTAAAACAATGGACTCATTGGCTAGCAGTAAAATAATAGAAAGAGATTTTGGGAATTTCAGTCCCCGTGTTTATCTTGAAGAATATTATTCAGAAATTCAAAATGAAGATAAACATCATCTGTACTGTCTGGCTAAAGCATATGCCAATGTAACAGATGATTCTACATTGCTTGAATTTGGCGGTGGTCCGACTCTTTATCAGCTGATGTCCGCTGCTGCAAAAGTAAAAGAAATTCATTTTGCTGATTATTTGGAAGTGAATCTGGTGGAAGTAAGAAAATGGGTAAGCCGTAGTGGTGATGCATTCAACTAGAACAATATTACAGCTATAGCACTACAAGCTGAAGGAATCATGCCTACTTCAGATGCTATCAATGAACGCGAAGCAATGCTACGGGAAAAAATTAAAAAATTCCTTCGCTGTGATGCATTTAAGAAGTATCCGCTTGGAACTAATAATGATAGTGCTGTTCAGTACGATATTGTCAATACTCATTTTGTTGCTGAATCAATTACAGATAATCCTGATGACTGGAAATTGGCGTTTGCGAATATTTGCAGCTATGTGAAACCCGGTGGTAAACTCGTAATGGCTGCAATGAAACATTCCAATGCTTGGAAAAATGGTGAACAGAAATTTCCAGCAACATACATTACCGAACACGATCTTGTTGAGCGTCTTATTGAAAATGGTTTTCGGTATGAGGATATAATTATGGAAACATTTCCTGCTGATCAAGAAGACTATAAGGAAGTTATATTCTGCTGCGGTATCAAAAATTTATAAAATACAGCAGTTTTTTAAAGATAAAATTTCATTTTAATACATTTTCAAGTATATATTAATTAAGATTTCTTTTTCAATAAACTATTCTATTTAGTCATGACAAATCAAATGTTAATCACAAATATCTTGCACTGTCTGCTACCCAGCTTTGTGGTCGATCACTAGAATGATATAAAAAGAAAAGATTGTAAAAAAAATATCGAATGCTGAAAACATCAAACGATAGTTACATCGAAAATAAAATGTCGAAAATGTTAGTACATGATAGTTTAGATTATTCAGATGTATATAACTATATTGATGTATTGAAAAGAGAGAAGTTTTTTTCTTAAATCATACATAAATGTTATTGCAGACGTAAGAATGTTATAAATCCTTGTTATCTGTATGAAGATTGTAAATTTTCGTGATGCTGGTACTATATTTTCAAAAGTCAAAAAGAAAACTGATGAAATTCGGTAAATATAGTACCAGCATGAAGTAGAGCGAATAAAACTGGTTATAATTGACAGAAGAATTTGGTTTGATTTGGGGAGTTTTTGCACCGAAAATTAACAATGTTTTATGTAGATAAAAAAAGGGTTTATTGCACCACTAACCATGCCTTCTCCGCTGTATATTTTCTTTTTTTTTAAATTTTATTCTTTTCTTTGATCCTTAAATAAATAAAACAAATCTAATTGTTGTTACATAAAAATAAAGAAATACTTCATCTTCTTCTCTAGTAAAGACGATTTCTCTAGCTCTATAATTTATTTCTAAAAACCGTACAAATCAAGTTATAACTGTAGTTTTCATGTTCATTATTTTTTCAAATTCTTATTATGTACTTTTGCACTTTTTCTGTTATTGAATTTTACATCTAAATAAAATTGGTGCAATACAACAATACTGAACAGAATATTGGCTTATGAGTATTTTCCATAAAATACAGGACTACGCAAAAGTTATATAGGAGTACTCAAGAAACGCTTAATATTACACGGTGAGTACTCTATTGTCGTACTTCGATTTTAGCACGAGGACTACTGACTAGCACTCAAGAAATGCGAGTACTCATGAGTTTATTTCACGGCATTTTCTAGCGTGAATACTTTTTGGGTACTTGCTTGATGAGCACCTTTACTGACATCATGGCTTATAACTCAATGGCAAATCGACTTTTTGCGCTATCTTCAAACTTTTCGTCATTTTCATCTTTTGCACATCTTTGTTCGATTGTTTTTATTTCGACATTTTTTCCTTTCGCTGTTTTGTTTTCGACCTTTTTTTCACGTTTTTTTGTTTCGGCCTCTTCTACACATACAATTACTCCTATGAGTAATATCTATTACTGAGAGTGCGAGTCCGGGTGAGTGTGGATGTGGGTGCGGGCATGAGTGCGAGTGTGAGTATGGATATGGATTTGGGTTTAGGAGGAGAGAAGTCTCACACACTCACACTCTTCTGTTACTGACTGCAGTTTCGAAAGATGCTAACAATGAATTGACTGTTACGTTCAATACTGATCGGATCGAGACAATTTTGTGTCATGATTTTCTTAAGTGATACACTGATAAATGCTCGCCAGAGTACTATACAAAACTGAGAAGTCATCGAATAAATTAAAAGGAAAAGTGAAAAATGTGCACAACTAACGATAAATATCTGATACATCCATTTGTTTCGGGTATGATATGCTACCCGTATGTAATGTTGATAAATATATGAACAAGTATGACGCAAGTATTTGATCAAAACTCGACATGTTCCCATCGATTTACGTAAAATCAAAGAGTATTCTTATTACACATGCCATTGTTACTCTGAAATAATTGAACAGAAGATTATCCTCTTTTAGTCAAACATAGAGAAGTAAACTAGCTTGAATCTATATCTCGACATGCCCTGCGATATAATTCTCTAAATTGACCTACAAATCACCGCCAGAAATGAATTCGTCTATGGTAAAAATCACTTCAATAAAATAATGTTATTAATTAGTTATTGTCGTTAGGGCTCTGTATTCCTTATATGATACTGAATTAGTCGTACAATAGTTCTACTGATGACTATTGAGATTGAAGAAGACAAAAAAAAATGTCGACCTCTACAGAAGTTAGCTTACGTGTATAGTTCTGCACATTCAAGAGGTTGAATATATTATAAGTGATAAGTACGTTTAAGATCAGAAAGCAGCTTAATCAACATGTCTTCGAATATGCTCTTGAAGAGTGTTTGACATTCTTCTTTCGTCAGAAATCACACATTAGAACTAGGAAAAACTCGTGTTAAAATGAACACATTGTAAAGAACAAGATTAACACGATGTTCACATTGTATGAAATATATTTATCAGACATTGTACAAACAACAATGCATTTGTTATACAAGGAAATAATGTCAATGCATTTCAAATGTGATGTAGTAGTGTTTTAGTGCGTATAATGCCAGTAGTATCCAACTTGAAAGTTGAATTCAAGTATTCAACTATTAGTTCAACTATTCAACAATTCAACAATTCAACAATTCAACAATTCAAGTATTTAAGTACTCAATTAGTTAACGACTGGAATGCCACTAGAATCATCTAATATCGACAGGTATTGTCTGCGAGACTATAAGCATCCCCTATGATGCTACAAGCATTCCATATGATGCTACAAGTATCATATAGAATGCTACAAGCATTCTCTAGGATGCTGAAAGCATCATCTACGATGCTACAAGCATCATCTACGATGCTACAAGCA